AAATACCGTATGAAACAAGAGCTAGCCCCACCCTATAACTGGGAAGGACAAGTCATTCTGTGACCCATCACTGGGAAGAGGGGCTTGGCTCTTTCCCACTGAACAAAGCTCCAAGGCAGGGTGTGTTACCGCTACCCTGGTCTTCTTCCCAGTTTCTTGGGTGAGACCGAGGACTGGTCATGGGGATGACCTTGCCCCTTCCCCCTTTGGAACATCTTGTCCTTGTTTCATTGTTCCCTCCTCATCTTTTAATTTGTCTACTTTATGTGTATGGGTGTTTTGCCTGCATGCATGTCTGTGTACCTACCACACACATGCCTGATGCCCACAGAGGCCAGGAGAGGGTGACTGACCTCCTGGAATTAGAGTTACGGACAGTTGTGAGCTGCCGTGTGGATGTGGGAAACTGAACCCAGGTCCTCGGAAGAGCAGCCGGTGCTCTTCACTGCTGAGCCTCCGTTCCAGCCCTGTTCCTGTTTGTAATGCTACTGTAAAAAACCTACAGTCCAGGAGGGAGTCTTTGGCTGTTGTGGGAAAGAGCTGAGGAAGCAGGACAAGAAGGGAGGGTCTGGAATCTTCTTTGTCAGTAAGTCAGGTGACTAACCAGACCCCCCCCCCCAAAAAAAAACCTAGAAGACTTCTTCTCTGCCCACCCGAGAGAACAGAAGAAAGGGCTCTATCGGCAAGAGAGAGCCCACTCCTCAGATTGTCCTTAGACCAAGACAGGATGTGGAAGCTGTGGGTGCTGCTTGCACACTGGCTTGCACACACAGGTGCACATACAGACACACTCACCAGGGGTTCAGGAAGGAAAACAGCTAAAGCTCTCATATTTGAACCTGACTCAAGATCTGGGGCAGTAGACAGCCACTCACATAAGACCTCTAAAATGAGATGAACTGGTGGTAGGCTGAGGGAGGAGACTTTGGGGAAGACTATATCTTAGGGATCAGAGGCAAGAGCTGGGAGAAAAAAAATGAAGCCCCAAGGAGAGTACTGGAAAGAACTCAAAGGTGAGCAGCTTTGGCAAGGGAGAACATAGGTCCATATCACTGTCCTGCCACCGCCAGCCGGGAGGTGCTACTTCACAAGGATCATCCTCCTTTATCATCTCCCAAGATGCAAAACACTTTCCAGATTTGCTTGTTTGCTTGTTTTGAGACAGTCTCAAGTTGCCCAGGCTGACCTTGAACTCATTACATACTGGAAGATGACTTAAAATGGTTGATCCTCTTGCCTCTATCTCCAAAGTCCTGGGACAGCAGGCTAGAGACTTGCTCTTTTTAACCCACCTTGTACCATCGTGGGTCCACTTTCCTCTTCAGAGCTCTGGATTATAGGGAACAGCCACTAATTCTAAAGCTCTCAGACTTCCAAAGATGGAATTGCTGTGGGCCATATTGTATTCTGATGCTATTATTTTATTTTGTGCTTTCTTTTTTCAGCACTGGGGATATAACCCAGGCCCTCATATATGCTGGGCAAATGCTCTACCACTAAATTATATCCCTTGCCTAAGACCATTTTATTTTATTTATTTGTTTGTTTGTTTTTGTTTTTTTCAAGATAGGGTTTCTCTGTATTGCTTTGGAGCCTGTCCTGGAACTCACTCTGTAGACCAGGCTGGCCTCAAACTCACAGAGATTCATCTGCCTTTGCCTCCCGAGTGCTGGGATTAAAGGTGTGTGCCATCACCACCCAGCCCATTTTATTTTAAAAACACTGGTGACTCCTCCTTAGCTTTGGGTTTGATTTTACACTAAGATGCTTTATTATCTTATGTGTCTAAGTATTTCCTATTTCAAGTCAGGAGAACTTACCTTAACAAAAAGGATAGTAGACAGAGGAGAGAAAAGGAGCCCCATACTAGAAGAAATTATTTTCATTCTACTACCTACCCATTTATTCGACATCTAGAAACAAGAACTGATACGACACATCTCGAGACGATCAGTGGACATAGGTTCCCCGGCTCCTACAAAAGCTTCTCCTCCAGTCTGTACTCACCCAAACAGGCCAACATCTCAACCAGGAGGATCCAGGCCAGAGCTAGGTGCAAACCCATGATGAAAGTGGTAATGAGGGATTAAGTGTTGGAAAGCTTCCAAATAGAGACCTAGAGAAACACAGGACAGAAGAATGAGTCCAGCTACTCAAGAGAATCAGTTATAAGCCTTCTGCAGGGCCTCTCAGGATCACGGCTGGGGAGCTGGACCCACGTGGCTTGGGTAGCAAAGCAAGAGGCTTGCTCTCTCCGAAGGTCTCTCACTCATTCAACAGATAACTGATGAGCACATGCTGTGTACAGAACTGACCTAGGCTCTGGAGACCAAGCGGTTGACCAAAACAAAGCCATCCCTGCCCTTGTGACCTTTAGTTTCTCAGTAGTTGAAAACCCTCGATTTGGCCCAGCTGCCCACACAGTCTGCCCCACTGCTTGGGAGGAGGGGGCTGAGAGACCCGGCCGGCAGACTGGGATCTGAGTGAAAACATTGGTTGCATCCAACCTCGTCCATCGTCCTGGTGGTGGATGTGCCTAGAATCTGACTTGATGGTGAAGGCTGACAGAGGCTGAAGCGTGGCTCCTGTGAGTGCATAGACTCAGAAGAGTGCCAGCCACGTCAGCGGCTTATCTTTCAGCCCTGCTTTCCCTCCACAGGCCAACAAAGCATGGAGGACAACGGAGAAACAGAGACAGGAGGAGACTCCAGCCAGGACTCCTCTGGCAAAATTTCACTGAAGGTGTCCTAAAGATTGGGGGTAAGGTGGTGAAAGCCCTGTGCTCACAGAAGGCCTCATCTTTAGCCAGGACTCCTCCAGTCCAAGGAGAGAAGCCCCAGCGAGGGGCCTCACCCCCTCCCCATCTCCTACTAAACAAGTGGAAAAAAACCAAACTCCGTATTGCATCTATCCTAGAGAGTCTTCCGGGTGTGGTCTTTGGTAACATGTGAAGAGCTGGGCTCTGGAGACTTGAAACGTTGAGTTGGATGTGGTGGAGTGGCTGGCCACTGTTGTGCTTCCCTAATCCAAACAGTTGACCTCTTTCCCCTTCCCATCAAGTCTTCAGGAACCTGGACCCCAAATGTAGGTAGAGCGCTCCATCTCTAACGGCCTGTGGGCTTTTAGGCCAGACTCTGGAGACAAACTGCCAAGGAGAGCAGCCATCCTAAAAATCTCCCTGTGGGTAGGTAGTCCTTAACAATTTACACGAGACACTTGGGTGTGGTGACTCCCCAGACAATCTGGAAACAAAGGCACAACTCCCAGGCAATGAAACCCCAGGCAGTGGTAGAACCAGGGTGAGTACCAAGCCTGCCTGGTTCTTGCCCCACATGGCCATGTTTCCAGACCACAGTTTTAGAATGGTGATTCTGTGGGCCCCGGGGTAGGAGTGAGAGGAAGATGGCTTAAGACGACCGAGATTCCCAACCTGGAAGAGCAGGGAGTAATGCCTGTATACTGTACACCCAAAGTCCCTCATTGGCATGACGTGCTGGTGCGAAGCAACCCTTTAGACCCAAACAAACTAGGTCACTCAACGTGCTTAGGACCAGATGACCCTGGTTTTTCAAAACCACAGTGTGCTGAGCTCAGGCCTTAGCGAGGTCTGTTTCAGCCTCGGGGGAAAGATCGGAGGTAGGTACACGAGGCTACATTTCCCGTTCTGCAGAAGGGGGACCCACCAGTGAGCCTTTCCCCCTCTGTCCCCGCCTCAGAACCCCTTCCCTCGGAGAACCCTTTCCCGCCGGCCGGGAGAAACGCTCTCGGATCTGACCTTAGCCTCTGGTCCCCCAGCCTGGGACTGCGGATTGCCTCTGGCCTGGGTCCGGGGTTCGCTGTAGCCGCCTCGGTTCTGGCTGCCTCTCCAGCTCTGAGCCGGGGCGGGCGGGGCTCCGGGCTGAAGAGCGGATAGCGCGTCCCGGCGCTGGGGCGGGGCACAGTAGGGCGGGATAGAGGCCGGCACCGGGACCCGCCGCCGGGGCACTCCTAAGGGACCCGAGCGTGAAAGGTGAGACCCTGTGGGATGCTGGGTTCCTGCGGTGCCCAGGGTTCAGGCAGTGTGGCCGTGTGGGAGGCGGGAAGGCAAGTCTCCTCCACAAGTTGGAGGGGGCAGAGGAGTGGGTGGAAGACCCGAGAGGGGGTGAGGCAGGCGGGCTGTCCCCAAATCCTCGCCACACAATCGGTGTCCGGGCTCTAAAACGAAGATGACCAATCATCCAACACCTACCTACAGATCAGACCTAGCTCCAAAGCAAGGTATCCATCTGTCCCCCAAACCTGTAAGTCTGGGTAACCAGGGTTCCCGGTGGGACCTCCCAGGTCTCACTGCCCGGGGAGCCTGGTCGCTAGGTTTGCGTTGCAGCTGCCCGGGGTGCTGGCGTGGGTAAGGAATAGGAGGTCTCTGGGGGTGATGCCCAGGGTCCAGGCACACACCAGTCCGTCCGGTGTCCGAGGGCCGGGTGCCAGGGCCGAGAAAGTTGAAAATGACTTGCAATGGAAGGCGGGGAAGACACCAGGCCGGGTCTGTAGGGTCATAATTTGGTCCGCAATTGAGTTAGAAGAATGGGAGGTTGGAAGGGACCCTGGCGGGACAAAGTGGGTAGTTTTGGTGACAGGACGTTAACGTCTGGACCAGATTCCGGCCCCATCTCCACGACCAGGAGCGTTGCGAGTGAGTTCCCAAAGGAAGAGACGAGCGGCGCCGGGTGCCACGCACACAATATCTGAAAGAGAGGAAGGTAGGGGACCATGGGTCGCGTGTGGATGCGGGGTCTGTGCGGTCTCCTTGCGATCAGACCTTGAAGTGCTGCTCTGGTACCGACCCCTAGGGGCGCACTTCTTGAGTCTACACAGATCACTTCAGATTTCGGGGGCGGGGGGACGGTGAAGGAGAAAGTTTAGCAGGAAATTAAGACAAGGCAGACTTCTTAAGGTTGTAAAAGTCCCAAGATTTGTCGACACTAAATCTTTATTTCTCTTAACTGGAGTCTGGGTAGGTTGGATTGCTCAGTTCCCCATCCCTGAGTCCATTACCACCTGTCACTGGGGAATTCTCTCTCTCTCTCTCTCTCTCTCTCTCTCTCTCTCTCTCTCTCCCTCTCCCTTTGTCTCCCCCCTCTCTCTTTCTCTGTCTCCCTCTCCTTCTCCCTCTTCCTCCCCCTCCCTCTTCCTCCCCTTCCCCCTCTCCTGCTCCTCTCCCTTCCCCTCTTCCCCCCCCTCTCTCTTTCCCTCTCCCTCTCCCCTTCCTCTACCTTCCTTAGGAAGAACTAGCAGTTCCTGAAAAGGACTCTCTCTCTTTAGCCAGCCAGAGATGTAGACTTTTAATAGGTTTTACTTCAGTCAGAGACATAAGCTATCCCATTCCTGTAGCCACGCATCACCCATCAGAGTGCTTGACAATATTAGGCATGCCACCTAAACTGCCTTTATAGGGAGCTAGCAGTCCTCACTCTTCCGGGGTGGGGTGGGCAGAGGAAAGCTTTGGGAAGGAAATCTTGTTAAACTGCAAGAGAGGTTCCAGATCTCTCCTTGGCTTTAAGTGACGAAACTAGGACTTTACTGGGCTGGGTCTTCAAGACTGTTAACTTAATCTCTACCCACCTGTCATATAAACACTGGAAATCCACTTCATCTTGTTACAGGTAAGGACTAGAGAACTACACTGGAAATACTATGAACACTGGGGAAAGCCTCTAGTACTTAAGGTTGCTCTCCAGGCCATGTCAAAAAATAGAACCCCAAAGTGAAGGAATTGACCCTTCACCCAAGTCATCATAGGGGCCCCTGTAAAGAACTGTAGGTGTCTGTGTCACTGAGTATGACAGAGTCGGGGTGTGCCCCTCTTCCGTCTGTCTATCTGTGTTTATGTAAGTCTGTAGGTGTGTATTTATTTAACTGTCTTGTGCATCAGTATAGACTGCATGTATGTACCAGTCATGGTGGCGAGTTGAGGAACCAGAGGGTATAGTTAACACTGACGTGAGATTTTGCTAGGTTAGAACCAATTCTGCCATCGACTCCATTTGTCGAGCCTGAGCGGGAAAGATGGTCCCAAGAGAAACTCGGAAGAGCAGAGTTCTGCTGCTTTTTTATTTCAGTCCATCTCCTCATGCAGGAGCCCTGTTTGCATACTAATGAAACCAAACTAGGATCAGTCATGAAAATTCAACTTTACTACATCAGGCAGTGTAGAGTAAGGAATATCTAAGTCATGAAATCGCATAACTAATGGCAGAGACCAAGCAAGGCATACATACTGTAATCATCAACTATCATTTGCTCTAGTCATCCGTAATACGTATTTCGGAGAATCGGAAATGTTAACAATGTCCTTCTGTACTTGAGATACAAAAAAGCCTTTTGTTAGTGTTTCTTTGACGCATCGTGTTAATAGAGATGAGCCATGCTCACAAAACTTATATAACCTCTCATTAAAATAAGCACAGGAATACTAAGTGTATGTGATCCTGACCAAGATGCATTAAGTTAGTTAATATCTGCTTGCACTGCAAATACCTGTTGCTGAAATTCAATCGTATAATATGGGTTCTTTTTCATTTTTTGTGTGTGTGTGTACATGCACACACCTATGGCATGAGTGCAGACATCAGAAGACAGCTCTCAGAAATCAGTTCTCTCCTTCCACCATGTGGCTTCTAGGACTCAGACTCAAATTTTCAGGCTTGGCAGCAAGCACCTTCACCCACATATCCACCTCATGGGCCCTAACATGAGCTCTTTCTATGAACAATCTTGCTTGCTTTATCTTAAATTATGTCTTCTTTTTTCCTCCTCTTTCCCTCACCCTCCCTTTCTCTTCTTCTTACTATTATTATTATTATTATTATTATTATTATTATTATTATTATTATATTACCATCATCATCACCATCATCATTTTATCATATAGCCTTGGAATGCCTGGAACTCATTGTGTAGACTAGGCTGCTTTCAACTAAAACAAGATCTGCCTGCCTTTGCCTCCCAAGTACTGGGATTAAAAGAATGTGTCACCATGCCTTGCTATCTTAACTGAGACCTAAGGCCTTCTACATTGTAGAGCTCTTCTTCCTATAGAGATTTTCTTAGAAATGATTTCAGTTTGGGCATCATTAATAAAATTTTGCTATAACAAAAAAAATATGCTTTACAATAAATGTCACTAGGCCAGCAAGATGGCTTATCTGGTAAAGGCACTGGCTGGTTATGCCTGACAACCTGAGTTAAAGCCTCGGAACCCACAGAAAGATGGGAAGAAAGAACCAGCTCCACAAAGATGTCCTTTCACTTCTATAGGCATGCCGTGGGAAGTACACACACATACACACACACACACACACACACGCATGCACGCACTATTAAATATAAACATTTAAAAATAAAATGTTACTGTTAATTATTTTGTTTAAAGAACTGGTTCTACTTTATTTTAAAAAAAAAACATTGTGTGTATGGCTGTTTTGCAGGCATATATACATATATATATGTCAATGTACCATGTACATGACGGTGCCTGCAGAGGCCAGAAGAGGGCATTAAATCCTCTGGAACTGGAGTTACAGACAGTCGTGATCTGCCATGTGGTTGTTGGGAATTAAACCCAGGTCCTCTGCAAGAGCAGCCAGTGCTTTTAGTTAACCTCTGAGTCTTCTTTCCAGCACCTCAAAATAACAGACTTTTAGCTATACATTTTCAGCTGAGCTTACAATGTATGCTTTATGTTCAACTAAATGCAAACATTTATGTTTTTCTCTTTACTATTCTTAGAGACTCTAGCTATTGGAAGAGGGTTTCTAGACAGTTGGGTGGTTTTGTTTTTTTTTTTTTTGAGATTACTAAATGTAGATTAGGTTCATCAGATCCCTTCTTATACATCTTTTAGCCTTGTATTGGTGGCACTCAGTTAATGTGAGTGAGTACAGTGTGGGTAATGAGGGGACATAGCTCCCCCTTGTGTGAAGACTCAGAAGGAGACAGATGCCTGTGGGAAGAACTCATTCATATTCATTGATTTGATCCAGAGTTTGATTAGAATGTGCTACATGCAGATGATGCAAAGATGGGAAGATTAAATCTCTGCCCTCAAGGAGACTCTGTCTAAAGGGGAGACAAATGTTCAAAGTGATGGAGTACAATAATTGTGATCAGGAGATATGATCAAAATACAACAGGAGTGGGAGAGTGGGAATCTTCCCATTGGTCCAACGGCCTTAGAGGGAACTCCACAGAGAAGGTGAGGTGAGCTGAGACTGGCAGTGAGGACAGGCGTTTGCCAGGGGTGGAACAATCCAGGTAGAGGAAATAACACATGCAAAGGCAAGAAAGCATGAACAGCACTCAGTCATGGAGAGGGGAAGAGGGGCGCTGCTCATAAAGCACTTTACATGTGATAGTGAGAAATTAGATTCTACCCAGGGCAAAGAAGTGACATGACCAGATTTGTTTATTAGAAAATAACCAGGCTAGAGAGGATGAGACTAAAATCGGCAAAGGCAGTAGCCAAGACAACCAACAGATAATTTCAAGAAATACTCAGGGGGTAGGATGGCCCTGGTTCTGGCATCTTTGTTTCATTAATGGACGGTGGTAAAGCTAAAAAGAAAGAGCAGCAGAGAATTCCATTTGGAGCCTCTTCAATTTGAGACATCAAAATTCATGAGGTAGTTGGTCCTTTTAAGTTTGGAGCCCAGGGAGACCTTTGAGAACTATAAGCCATGGGAACAGACGAGACTACCTAGGAACATTTTGTTTTGTTTTTGAAAGAGGGTCTTACCTTAGTTCAGGCTAGCCTTGAACTCTCAGCTCTTGCCTCAACCTCTTCATTGCTGAGATTACAGGCGTGCACCACCACGATGGACTATCCAGGGAAACCTTGAATGACTAGAGGAAGTGAATCATGATAGAATCCTGAACAGCGTCAATATTTAACAGAGAGAAGGGTGGCCAATGATAGGGGACCCAGAAAACATGGTATTGTGGAACCAAAGAGTAAGTTTCAAGAAGGAAGATGTGTTCTGCAGTGTCAAATACCACAAGTTTAAAATTTTTTATGTAGTGAGACTTTCCCTTTAGGTTATTTAGTGATGTAATGCCAAAGATAAAGATGCAGAAAAGTTAGGTTACTAGGCCAAGGCGACAAGGGATAGATAAGAATATGGAAACACCAACACAGACTATTTTGTCAAAAATCCTGGCTGTGAAAAAGGAGAGAGTAAGACCAAACAGTGAGTGGAGATCCAGAAATGCTCCTTCTTTTGTGATCTGAGTTGGGAGAAACTTGAATCTACGCTTGGGAGAAAGATCCAGCAGAGAATGAAAAGTGAAGAGCCGTGAGAGAGCACCGAGGATGACTGATGATAAGGTGGTTGGGGGTTGGGCAGGAGGATCGGCAGGGCTGGGGAAAGATGAGTATTTCTCTGGGGTGGAAGAGCTGAGGACTTTAGAAGAAAGCGAAACTTGATGTTAAAAACTGAAACTGCGGTTGTATGACTTGTCCAAAAGACAGGATTAAAAGCTAAGCTATGTGTCTCCCTGTCTCGTTGCCGTACCATACACTCCCTATTTGTTCCCAAGAGTACTCACTGCACTTTCCATGCCCAAACTCATTTCACCCTCATAGTGACACACTGAAGCAAACATTATTATTTGGTTTGTTTGGTTGTTTTTTTTGTTTTGTTTTGTTTTTGTTTTTCAATAAAACTACATAGAGGTGAAGTTGCAAAAGACAGAGGCAGAATGCAAACCCCCTGGAGCTGTTTGACTACGAAGCTGCTTCCTTTACCTTCCCACTAAACACAATTCTCCCTGCTCAGATTAAATGATGGGTTCTCCTGGATAATATGAGACCCCAGTGCAGATCACACTTGGAAGAATGAACAGAACTGGGACAGCGATTCTAATTTTTCACCCCTGTTTTTTTATCTCTGAAGTTGGGGTGCATCTTATCACAATGGTTGTGATGGTTTAATTGACCATACTTTCTTTATGATGGTGAAATAGTAGTGTGTTTTGCAATTAATTCTGTCTAAAAACTGATGAAATGGCCAGGTATCATTTTGCTAAGGTCCTGTGTATAAAGGGACAGACAGGAGTCAAATACGCTCTAAGATCAATCAGGCAACAGGCAGAGAAGACCAAAGTCAGTATTTGAGTTGAAGAACCACATAGGTAATGTGAAGGGAAGAAAAATTCCTATGCATGGAATCGTAGGACATCTGGTACCAACACTGTGCCTGACAGAGGGCAGACAGAAAGCCTACCTAGGTTGTTCTGGACTCAGCAGACTCGGGAATTCGGGTACTTAAAAAGGCTGGGCAGTGCTGGGTCTAGGGATCAGCCCCTGTTAGTGTACTTGGACTCTACACTTAGCAGCTTTTTGGCCTTTGTTCCTTTGGAGACCGAAGAAGAAAGGCAATCTCTTCGTAATCTGCACCATCTCCTACCCTTATGACTTTGTTTGATAGTAAATACAGTTCTTTTTATGTTCTGTGATCCGCCTGTGCTAGAGCCTGGGAGGGGGGGAATGAAAGAGAGTTCTTTTTCTTCAGATATTCCCAGAAGAAACAGAAAAGGCCGAAAAGTGAGTGGTTAGGAAGGGACCACGGGGCAGCAGAGACTGATTGCCAAGACCCTAAATCTGCCACAGTCCAAAGACGAGGAGATGGACTGCTGAAAGGCAGTGGAAAAGCAGTAATAGTAGTGAAGGTCAGAAGGCACGCACGTGTGTGCACGCGCACACGCACACACACACACACACTCACACACACACACTCACACACACACACACTCACACACACACACACACTCACACTCACACACGCACGGCTTGAGAGATGACAGAGCCGGGTTGGTTTGTCCTCTGCAGCATCCTCAGCCCCACAGTGTGTCGGGTTCACAGAGGGCACTCAGTGAATCCTTGTTGTTGCAGCATCACCACCTCTGGACACCCCCGACAAAATGGCAGCTCTTGGACACACACTGCCCTTCTATCCGGGTCCCAAGCCAACCTTCCCAATGGACACAGCTTTGGCTGTTATCATCACCATCTTTCTGGCTGCCCTGGTCACCTTCATCATCATCCTGCCTGGCATCCGTGGGAAGACGGTAAGAAACAAACGCAGCCCTGTCGACTCCAGCCCCAGGGAGGACTTCTGCGTCAGGATGAGGAGTCCAGATTCTGTCGAGAGAGGCAGACTCAGGGAGGGAACGCCAGTGCTGAGGAAGCCTCATTACCATCCCTAGAGCAGAGCTCCCCGTTCACTGAACCAACAGATGGAGAGTGATTTTGTACCAGACACTCTGATCTTTAATTGGCCAAAGAGGCTCAGTGGTAGAACCCCGTCCCTGGGTGAATGTGGATGGAGGGCTATGCTTACTAAACCCGCCCCCTCTGACTCAGAGGCTGTTCTGGATGCTGCGGGTGGTGACCAGCTTATTCATCGGGGCTGTGATCCTGGGTGAGTGCCAAATGCCACAGGCTTGGGAAGCCGCCTCTCTCCTGTGAAGCCGCCTTTGTGGCTGCCTCTCTTTTCTTTTCGTTTCTCCATAGAGGTCACTGCTTCAGGGTGCCCTCCAGATCCAGCCCACACACCTCGCTCACCATGGGTTTAGCCCTTTACTCTTACCCTTGCCCTGAAAGGTGTGGGCCAGGGAAGCCCAGGAGGATCCATCTTTTCAATCTTGCTACCATTTTATTTGGGTTGTAATGAATGTAGGCAGGAGGACTCTGGGGGAGGGTTGTTGGCTTGGCCTCAGTGATTAGGGGAATAGGGAAAACAGACCATTTTTGTTGAAGTTGTCTGTGTGTTGCCCATCATGGTCTACGTTAATGCTTCCTTACCAGTCGCCTGAGTGGCTGTCCGTACACGGGACTGGGAGGGGTAAGCAGAGTGTGAGCATGGAAAATTTTAGATTCTGACCCTTTTCTTCATCCCACAATAATGGTTGGCAGACTTAGTATGAGCCAGGCCTGGACTAGTGAATGGGTATACAATTACGACAAGTTCAGGCACGGAGCCCTTGTAGCTTTCCTTCTGACTAACCCAGTAATGCCCAGGCCTTCCTGAGTTGCCCCTCCCCATCCCAGCTGTGAATTTCAGTTCTGAGTGGTCTGTGGGCCAAGTCAACACCAACACGACATACAAAGCCTTCAGTCCCGAGTGGGTCAGCGTGGATGTGGGACTGCAGATCGGGCTCGGAGGAGTCAACATCACACTCACAGGTGAGGAGGGAAGGCTCTGCTCTGCCTCTTTGGGATGTCTTTTGTGTGGTGTGTAGAACTACAGTGTGCCCAGCACCGGAGCCCGGAAGTGTAAGCGCTGAGGGGGAGGGGAAACTCAGAGCTGTCTCCTCTGTCGGCTGTCCGCGCTTGGCCATCTGCCCAGTGTGAAGGAACCCCTACCCAGGTGAATGGTCCAATCCCGTTCTTGGGTCCCTGCTAAGCACAGTTACCCTGCTCCTCAGGGACCCCAGTGCAGCAACTGAATGAAACCATCAACTACAATGAGGAGTTCACGTGGCGCCTGGGTGAGAGCTATGCGGAGGAGTACACGAAGGCACTGGAGAAGGGCCTTCCAGATCCGGTACTCTACCTGGCTGAGAAGTTCTCCCCTCGGAGCCCATGTGGCCTGTACAACCAGTACCGCCTGGCAGGACACTATGCTTCAGCCATGCTGTGGTGAGCATGGATATGGGATGAGATAGCCCCCCACTGGCCTAAACTCAGGAACAGATAGGCTAGCCATCTCCTTTCCACTCAAGAGGGTACCCTAAAGTGGGAGGAGCTGGCATCAGTCACTTTAGTTCTTGGTTGGGAAGCCCACAGGCAAGAACGTCCCTTCACATATTTGGGACAGCCTGTACCTGGGCCATCCCACCCTCTCCAACAGGTAGAGGGGCCTGGGCCCGTCCTCACTGCATCTTGGCTCTCCAGGGTGGCCTTCCTCTGCTGGCTGCTGGCCAACGTGATGTTGTCTATGCCGGTGCTGATTTACGGCGGCCACATGCTGCTGGCTACTGGCCTCTTCCAGCTGTTGGCTCTGTTCTTCTTCTCCATGGCCACATCGCTCATATCACCCTGTCCCCTGCGTGTGGGCACTGCTGTGCTGTCCCCTCACCGTGGGCCTGCTTTCTGGATCACGTTGGCCACAGGTGAGACCCTCCCCTAAAGGTGAGGGCTCAGGATGGAGGCGAGGGACTATCATGTTGGCGGGGTAGAGGGTCTACTTCTAGAGGTCAAGATGTCAGTGCCTTTTCTAGAGCCCCATCCTTCGTAACTCCCTCATCTTCTGGCTTTCTCTCTCCCATGCCGTTTCCTCTCCTCGTCCACGCTCACTTCTCTGTATCCTCTCTGTCACATCCATTATTCCCTAACTCCCGTTACTCAGGTCCTCCACATCTTCCAGTTGTGTGTCCCCTCCTGCATCCCTAACCACAGTTCTCATTGTGTCCTAGATCCCTTGCATGTCCCCACCTCACACTACCCCAAACGCCTTACGGTGTCACTCTCCTACCGTGCTCCGTCTACTCACCCACGTCATCTTCATGCCTCCTTCCTTTGTCTCCATCTGTCCCTATTTTCAGCCTGTCTTCTTCTCTCCCAACCTCAGTTTGGAGCATGAAAATTCAGGACAGTAGACCCATACCGGCGATATGGACCCTAGGACATTCAGTTAGCTCTATGAATGCTAGTCACCCTAAGGCAGGGACCCAGACCTCCCTTACAGAGTTCTTCTGATGCTCTTAGGAGATGTTCTTGGAAGGACCCTACTAGAACTGAGGCAAGACCCATGTCACCTTCTTCCTCAGGACTGCTGTGTATTCTGCTTGGACTAGTCATGGCAGTGGCCCACAGGATGCAGCCTCACAGACTGAAGGCTTTCTTCAACCAGAGTGGAGAGGACCCAGTGCTGGAGTGGCGTTCCGAGGAAGGGGGACCCCTGAGTCCCCGCTACAGGTCCATGGTTGAGAGTCCCGAGACTCAGGACATCCCCATGTCGGAGACTTCCTCTGAGATAGGTTTTAAGGAGGAACACATCAAAGAGTCTGACTGTGCCCTGTAATGCCCCTCTGATGGCGGCCCCCTGAGTTTCCAGACTGGCTCCAGACCTCGCTGGAGCCTCCCTAAACCCGCCAGAACGGCCCAGGAGGTGGGTTTGGGTTGTATCAGATGCTCAGCTCCAACTTTAAAAAAAAAAAGATCAAAAGTCTCAAGGTTCTGAAGAGAGGTCAGTCATGCCTCGAAACTGCTGTTATTAAGAAAGACAACGGGGGTGGTTGTTATTCTGTAAAACATCCACCCTCTTGGATGCTTTGCCTCTTCAAGGTCAACCTCCCTCTCATAACAAATATTTTGGGCATCAAGTGATCCCTCAGCACCCATCACTTGGTTTTTGGGTGGGCTGCCCCCCCCACCGCACCCCATTTCTTTTTCTGTTGCATTCACAGCTTATGTGACCTCTGTCTGGATCTGCACTGTAAGGGGACCAAGCATCTTGTTCCACTTCTAACACTAACCAGTTGTATGCCACATCCTCCTTGAGTTTCAGTTCCGGAATATGCTATGTAAGATTCTAGGACTTGGGAAGAACCGCTGGAAAAGTCCCAGATGTGTACAATGTGTGTGAGTGGTTTGCCTGCACCTATGTCCGTGCACCACTTGTATGCAGTGCCAGCAGGGGCCAGAAGAAGGCGTTGCAGAGATCTCCTGGAACTGGAGTTACAGGCAGTTGTTAGTCGCTCTGTGGGTATTAGTACTCCAACCCCAGTACCCTCTACCTGAACCATCTCTCCAGACTCCCAGGATTTATATTTTTATGCCTCGCTGTTTCTCTTTTAGCTCTCAGGCACACACACACAAAAAGAAGACAGTGGGAAAAATTAGTGAATCAACGCTAAAATCCTACTATTTCCCAGTACATTCAGTTTGGCTAATAGAGAAAGATTTGGGCAGTGTGACCACCCCGTGGGGCCGCTCACGAAGATGCAGGTGCCTGTCAGTTCCTCTCGGGCCTCACTAGAGGGCGCGCCTCTCCCAGATCCCTTCTGTGTTTCTCTGATTTCTCAGCACCTGAATTTACAATACCAGATTATCACTAGCCTAGCGCGAAGCTTCTCAAGGTTGTGTGACTCCAAGGGCCAAGAGATGTCAAGAAAATGGATGGGCGGGGAATTTTTGAAAAATAAACAAACAAACAAAAGTTTATTTACAGCTCTTCGGAGAAATTCATTCCCTAGAGCAAAGGGCACATCCGGGGCTCCCCCTAGTCCTTCTGCGTGGGCATTCAGTTCCCTAGATTCAGCAGTGCTTCTAGGGCGCGCCTTTAACACTGTCTTCGGGTCTGCGGGATCCCAAGGAGATTGGGAATCTGGAACTAGCTCTCTTCATAGGACAGTAGTAATATTCAAATCTGGAGCCTTGAACTGCTCGTGTTGCGGGTTATTGAAGATGAGAGGCGAGTTCCCTTTCGCCTGACTGCTACAGTCTTTGTCACTTTGACCCAGAACGGAGCGAAGAACCCTGGGTCGAGTGTAGTGGAGAATCACCACCGCCCCTCCAAGGAGGAGGCTCAGGATGCCTGCACCGGAGGGCGGAAAGACAGAGGGAGTCAGGGTTGCAGGCTCTGGTCGCCATCATCTGGAGCCCATCCTTGGAATTTCCTACACACACAACCCTCAGAAAGTACTCTTATGTGTATTACACGATGCACGAGTTCTCAGGCTAACTGGGGCAAGATACTGAACCCTTCCGAACTAGGTCTACTCAATCGTAACAGCGCCTGCTCCACCTTCTGCTGCTGTCGAGAGGAAGAAATTAAGTAAGAACTCATTCGATAAGCTGGGTAGCGCGCATCCTTTACATATCCCGGTCACCACCAGGTTAGCGTCCCTTGGTACTCACCGGTGGCCAGCGTGACCCAAAAGGAGGCGCCGTAGCGAGGCGTGAAGGCGGCAGAGCCCAGACGGAAGGGGCAGAGTGGCACGCTGGAGACCGAGGCGAAGGCAAAGACGGCGAAGAGCGTGAAGGCGCTGGTGGTGAGCAGCGCCAGGCCTCCATAGAGCGGGGTGGGCATGGAGAGCAGCGCGTTGGCGATGATCCAGAAGCAGAACGCCACCCTGGCGGGGACCGAAGCAGCGCGCGGTGAGCCGGGTTCCCTGGCCAGGCCTGCAGGAGGCGCAGGGGAACCCCGAGGAGAGCCGGCTCCTGCGCGCACGCGGTGGCTGGGATTCCCACGGTTTTTGCAGATCGCGGGACCATCCTGCCCGCGAGGCTGCAGTTCCAACCCGCAGCTCCCGAGGCCGTTCTCTCCAGGTCACACGCACCCTGCCCCGTCCCCACCACGGGCTCACCACAGCGTTGCTGCGGCGTAGTGTCCGGCCAGATGATACTGGTGGTACAGCCCGCAAGGGCTGCTGGGTGTGAACTTCTCTGCCAGGTAGAGCACTGGATCCGGCAGACCCTTCTCCAGGGCATCCACGTACTCCTTGGTGTAGTCTTCGTCCAGACGCCAAGTGAAACGCTCATTGTAGTCAATGGTCTCGTTCAGCTGCTGCACTGGTGTTCCTGCAGGAAGCTGTGGGGTTAATGCACTCTGCCAGGCCAGGGACCCGGAAACTGAATACATTCAGATAGGGAACGAAGGGTGGGGCGGCTGGCAGGAAAGAGAAAGATTAGGTAGTCGTTGGGGGAAAACCCAAATCCGTGTCAATCAAAGGTTTTCTGAGCCTGAGGGATGTGAAAGATCTTCTAACATCGCTTGGCGCTCAGCTCCCAACCATGTGATCTCCCAGCCCCAAGAACTCACTTTGCCCCAGCCTCCTCACCTCTGAGTGTAATATTGACGCCCACCAGTCCCACATGCAGGCCGACATGGACTTGAACACGGGCGGTACTGAAGGCTTTGTAGGATGTATTGGTCCACACTCCCCCCACGAACCAGTCTCCGCTGAAGTGCACAGCTACGGGGAGAGGCACGGGGTGACTTGGGGGTGAGGGTGAGAGGGACAGGAGGTGGGACAGAAAGATGGAGGTCTGGGGACCTGGTGCAATAGCAAGGTAAGGGCAGAAAAGTGAGCACTAGCGAAGAGCACTGGCGGAGGCAGGGGCATACCTGGGCAAGTAAGCACTCCTCAAGGTCAGCCTAGACTACATAGCAAGCAAGAGACGGTCTCAAAACAAAAAGCCCACAGTAAAAAGAGCAGCTGGGGAACCAGAAAGAGGTGCAAAGTGGAAGGGGAACCAGGAAACCGAGCTAGTTCCCCATTTCTCAGTGCCCTCTGCCACCCCCTCCCTGCTCCGACTCCTCTCTCCCGGGAGTTGCACCGGACACTCACCCACAATCTCTGCACCGATGAACAGACTAAGAAGAACTCTCACCAACCAGAACCATCGCTGTGGGGAAAGACAGACACTCAGGTCAGGATTGGGCACTGCCCAACCCATCCTCAAGACCCCCCTTGACCCCACTCCATCTCAACGTGACTTTTGAGGCAGATGTCACGCCTGCTTTTCCTTCAAGTTCCTCTAAGCCACTGGCATTTGTGGTAGTCTCTGGTCGCGTGCTTATGTGACCATTTCCCCGGTCCTAGTTTCAGGTCCGGCTTGCCTTGCACTCTCTGACCACCCTTTCTACCCCCCGCTGTCTGGCGCCTGTTCGCTACCACTAGTTCAGTCACTGCTTGGTGAGGCTCAGTGAGTTCAGAAGTGCCAGGCAGGCAGGGGTCACCTCTCCCTGAAGAGGGAGGCCCCAGGACCTGGTAGTCAACGAAAGGAGAGGAACGGTGCATATTTCTAGATGGACCAGTTCCCTCAAACCACCACCAACAAAAATCAACACAGAAAGATTGAGGTCTTCTCAGACTTGAAAAAAAAAATGTACAGTTTAGGATCTGGGGGCTGGGAGCATTTAAGGGAACTGCCCAGGCTTGCTACGAGTTTGAACCCTCTGTGTCTTTAACCGAACGTGGTAAGGAAAACACCACAGTCTAAATTGCCCGTGCCCATCCTCTTGACCAGAAGGTTATTGTCCAGATGACAGGACAGGGGTGCTCAAGTCTTCAGAGAGAGGGGTGGGAGAGTTCCGGCAGCACTGGAAGCCTGGACTACTGGGCTGGTTCCCACTTTCTGCAGCAGCCTCCAAAATAAGGCAGTTGGAGTCTCTTCCCAGGAATCCCTGAACCCTGGACTGTCCCTCTCCCATGAAGAGTGGATTGTTGCACCAGACTTCTAAATTTACTCCTGCTGATCCCCAGTTTAACTATTCATGAAGAATCTTCCTTAGTCTTGTCTGCCCTGAGTCTCCGAGAAATGCTCTCCGCATTGCTCTCTCACCTACGACGTGAGCTTCTAGAATCCCCCTAAGAGGAGCCCTTAGTACCCGCTTACCGAGTGGCCACGGATCCCAGGCAAGATGAGCAGGAAGCTGACGGCCAGGCACAAGAATACCAGAATGACAATGAGCAGCGGGACGCTGAAGCCCGCCGCGTGCCTGGGCTGGGGGTAAAAGGGCATCACCCCATCCCACATAGTCATCTTGCAAGAAGTTCAAGAACTGCACACAGGCAATGAATGAGCTGGTGTGGGGGAAACAAAGTCTGAGTCCCGCGGCTCTTCTAAAAAGCGCAGGAGCGGGATCCTGAAGCCCTTTCCTGACTTGGCGGCTTCGTGCACAGCGTTTGCAAAGAAACGCAGACCCCCCTTTTATAGGAGCGTGGGCAGCAAGCTGGGGAGGTGTCCTGATTAGGCGGCAGGGTCCTATCCAGATAAGATCAAGCAAACGAGGGCGGGGACATGCAAATAACGGCAACCCTGCTCCTTAACTGGAGGCCAAGCCTCTTTGGTCCCCACATTCACACCTGGAGCTGTGTCCTGAGCTGACACCAGCTAGACAGGAGACAGAGTGAAGGTTGAAAGTGCATCCAGGAAGTGTGAAGATTCTCGGAACTGAGAGAGTGGAGTGCGGGGGGAGCAGAGCAAAGAAACCAAGTCTCCAAGAACACGGAAGACGGTTGAAGCGACCGGAGCCTTACCCTAAGGTTGGGTCCTCCTAGCCCTCTCCTTTTCCCACAGGCCTTCACTGCAGATTTGAGAAGGAGGTCGGCTGCGGGTCCCTGGCTCTCAGTTCATTAGCCCCTCCCACTTTTCTGCCGCCTCCGGTAGAAGCAGTATGTGAGAAATTGGAATGAGAGTACCAGGTTTTGGAGCAAAGCCCCGGGAGGTTGAGACAGTCCTACTAGAGACTAGGCATCCCAAAGGACTCCTGCCCGGGGGTGTTCCTATGGTTGAAATCAGCAGGGTTAGGATGGGGGACAGTCTCAATATCTCCCAGGTTGTCCCAGAAAGAGCATCATGAAGATGTAGGACCTGAGTAACGCTTTTGCGCTCCTCTTCCAGTACCAGCTGTAGGGGTGTGTGTCCACCTCCCACCTCGAGGCTGCAGGGACAGCATGCTTCCAACAAGCCCCAAGACAATAGTGCTCCTGGGCACTCTGCTAACTGGACTCCTGGGTCCAGCAGGTAAGTAGATGGGACCTCTAGCTGAGAAGGATCAGCCAGTGTCCCATGGGAGTGTGGAAAAGGAGAGGTGCAGTTGGCACCTGGAAGCTGGAAAGGCTGGTCCACCTCCGATCCGGTTTGTGAGATGCAAGAAGACTTCTCCGGAGGCCTCCCGCTTTGTGGAAGAATTGGAAATGGAGTTAGTTGGGAGGAGCTAGCCAGCTGGGGAAGGACTCTACGCCCATGATGTCATGGAGGGGTCTCTGAGAGGTTAGTGCTAAGTGGAAGACTCTCTGCTCCCACAGGTGGCCAGGATGCACCCTCACTGCCCTGGGAAGTGCAGCGCTATGATGGCTGGTTTAACAATCTCAAGTACCACCGGCGCGGTGCTGCCGGTAAATCCTGGGTTCTGCGCGGAGGGCAGGGTCGCAGCAGTGCGGGTCTGCAGTTGGAGTGTGGTAGCCAGTGGGATTGCATTCACACCACATTCTTGTGCATTCCTGGGACG